ATTTGTTCACATTCATTCACCCGCGAGCTGATAATGGTGCTATAAATGACCCGTTTGGTATGTGCGATCGAAATCCGACATTACTTTTACCTTGTTGTTTACGTTTGGCAGAGACACTTCGAGGAGAGAAACCCTGCCCTTTCTACGTACGTATTATGGGCGGGGCGTGCGCTCAGGTGGGCGGTGTGTAAACTGCAAAACTGTGATGTTGTTCCTAGAGAAAAAAGATCGGTGCAAGCATACGATATCATAACTACTATATGATACATCAAGTCATCAAGTCTGGAAGTGGAAATCGCATGCCACAACCGCTTATTACTTAGTTTCTCTTCATAGCATAATCGTGAACAACTTCTATATCGTTCTCCTTCCAGGTAGGAGATAAATAAGAAGCTTACTTATAAGGGGTGGAGAGAAAAAGGTACCTGCTGCCGTGACATGATGAACCGTTGGAATCGTTCCGTCGCGTCGGTTTTCAACAAATACTACATTTTCATTTGAACTTGATTGGTTTGCCGAGCAAATCTATGAAATCCATCTGATTCCTAAAGTTAAAAATGGCACTTCAGAGCAGGAAAACATTGATAACCTGCATGTAGCAGAGTTCTAGTACCTCTTTAAATCATATTTTCGAGAGATGGCGGAGGGATAGCAATGTTGCTGCCAGAAAGCCCCTTCCGCCTTCTGTACTCCATCCTTTCGTTCCTAAAGTCAAAGTTACTTCGTCGATTGGTTTTTATTTGACTCCAATCGAAGAAGTGCTGAATTCTCACCAGATATTGGATTATTGCAACGCATGGAAGTGGTCTGACCACATCCGAGAAGTAGTCGAGCTCGGGCTTCAGTCTACATCAGCGTATAATTCAAAAAGAGAAGGCAGTCGGACTTTTTCCTCTGAATTAAAGTTTCCATCAGTTGGCTCATTCGGTTGGCTATGACGTTATAGGAAGAAATCTGAAGTATCTCAGTTTTTACACAATACGATTAATCAAAGAAGAGTAACTATTTAGTACTGCAGAATAACACCAGTCATTCATTACTGGATTGACATGGCAATATAAAGAGTATATCGACAGGAACAAAATCAGTATTCAGCTTCGGTGACACAAATCTACCATTTCCCCAGCTTCGAATAGGTCTCTTGACAGAAAAAAATCGAATTCCTATTGCTTGAGCAAAG